TCTTACGAGTGGAGGGCAGGGAGACAACAGTAAGTGTATAAGAGGTTTCCTGGACCCCTTGACTGTCTATGAGACGCGCAGTGATCTTGTATTTTCCTGGCGCTGAGTAGGTGTGTCTTCGTGTCAGCAGCGCTGAGGCTGGATGCAGGAGCAGTAGGAGCGGCAGCAGCAACAACAGCAGAAGCAGCAACAATAGCAGCAGCAGGAAAGATAGAATGATCACGTTAGAAGCATAAACTTTCCCACGTATTAAGAGTAATATAAACAACGTGACTTGTTTTATTTAGACAAATAAACACACACACACACACACATGCCGAAAAAATAATATTTTACCAGTTTAATCGTACATCCAGAAATTATAAATTATGATCACCACTCTCTGTGTGTCTATGATCACCACTCTCTGTGTGTCTATGATCACCACTCTCTGTGTGTCTATGATCACCACTCTCTGTGTGTCTATGATCACCACTCTCTGTGTGTCTATGATCACCACTCTCTGTGTGTCTATCATCACCACTCTCTGTGTGTCTATCATCACCACTCTCTGTGTGTCTATCATCACCACTCTCTGTGTGTCTATCATCACCACTCTCTGTGTGTCTATCATCACCACTCTGTGTGTCTATCATCACCACTCTCTGTGTGTCTATCATCACCACTCTGTGTGTCTATCATCACCGCTCTCTGTGTGTCTACCATCACCACTCTCTGTGCGTCTATCATCACCACTCTGTGTATATCCTGACGTGTAAATCCCCCTTGACATGTATATACACACACAGCATCAAAACATGCATACGTGGAGGGTTGTATATCTCAGTGCATATACACTTTTATACAGGTTTTACACAGAAGTAAAATAAGCCACGGAGGCCCCTTATTTAACCCACTGTAACTCTGGCTGAACATTCCAGTGTCTTTGGGGGATCCGTCACCGAAATTCAGCTTCCAGTGTAATGGCGAAGTCACTCCTCTGATAACCTGAAATGTCAAAAAAGAAAAAGGATTATCGAATTATTGCCTTTAGGGAAGCGCTAAATCCGTAGGAATTCATACAGCGCCTAGGGAATGGGTGGATAATCATGTTTGATCCAAAGGAAGAGGAAAGGATAGGTCCAGTACCTTGGATTAAAAGCCTTTCACCAGCATCAAGGCTTTAGATGTACTCAAATACATTGAATATTCCACCACACTGATAAGTAAACAATGCCAGAAAATGAATGATTTATTCTCCTCAACCGGAAATTTATACATTATACAACTATGAAGTTAGCTCACAGCAAAATAATTCAATGTGCGAGAGCTTCCTCCTGGTCCAGATACCAAAGAAATTTGTACTTGTATCGTTTTACTGGGATTTTCACTTGAGAAGTGTTGCACACTCGCCCGTGAGCACAGGCGAGGGTCTGGCCATTCAACCAACTGAAGAGTAAACTCTAAATGAAATCCCAAGAACATAATCCACAACAAAGTGATATATTTTAATAGCTTGGAGAAACTTAGATAACGTCACCTGGATGCTGACTAGTACTCGCTGCCCCACTGTGGGATGATGCGGCGGGTGTACTGAGAGAGTCAGCAACACTCCCTTACTCCCACTGTATCTCTCAGTGATGCTGGCAGGCAGGCAGGCAGGCAGGCAGGCAGGCAGGCAGGCAGGTAGGAAGGCAGGCAGGTAGGCAGGTAGGCAGGTAGGCAGGGAGAGAAAGAATGGGAAAAATTAGATCATCAGATACAAGAATAACAATTATGTTAGTAACAATGCTGCTGCTGCTGTTGATGCTGCTGCTGGTGCTACTACTGCTGCTGCTACTGCTGTTGACGCTGCTGCTGGTGCTACTACTGCTGCTGCTACTGCTGTTGACGCTGCTGCTGGTGCTACTACTGCTGCTGCTAAATGCTGTTGACGCTGCTGGGTGGTGCTCTACTGCTGTTGACGCTGCTGCTGGTGCTGCTACTGCTGTTGACGCTGCTGCTAGTGCTACTACTGCTGCTGCTACAGCTGTTGACGCTGCTGCTGGTGCTGCTACTGCTGTTGACGCTGCTGCTGGTGCTTCTACTGCTGTTGACGCTGCTGCTGGTGCTGCTACTGCTGTTGACGCTGCTGCTGGTGCTGCTACTGCTGTTGACGCTGCTGCTGTTGTTGCTGCTACTGCAGATTCTGTTGCTGCTGCTGCTGTTATTTTATTGTTTCAAACTCTAATAGTTATGATGCTACAAACAGTTCTCTCTTCATTACCAGTAAATAAACAATTTACTAATTGTGTCTCTAAGTACGTTAAAATAAGTCAGTTGAGAAATAAATAAATAAATAATAATAATAATAATAATAATAATAATAATAATAATAATAATAATAATAATAATAATAATAATTATTATTATTATTATTATTATTATTATTATTATTATTATTATTATTATTATTGTTGTTGTTGTTGTTGTAGCAGTAAGAATCAAAATAATTATAATAATCTTCTCAATCAACATAAGGTATAACAACGCTTATCGTACATCGTGCAATAAAGTGACGTACGTATCTCGACAAGTATCGTACGTTGTGACACGGGGCGAACGTTCACCTCTCGATAAATATCGTACGTTGTGCAACAAATGTCGACTAATATCTTTCATTAGATGACACAAAAACCAATGTATTTTTCCCTGTACCCACATAGATAACATCATACAGTAGCCAGGTACCATCGTAGGGTGAGCAACATGGAAATGCAAGATGTAAACAAATGTCATACAACTGCTGCACGGTGTTGACGTACGGTTGTATCCGTCTGCCTATGCAAGTTAAATGATACTATTCATAGGGAGGAAGCGCTAAATCTGTAAGGGATGTCATACAGCGCCTTGAGGGATTAGATTTTAGATTTTGCCACCGAAGTGGCTAGTTTATTGTGCACCCCATATCCATCCTGTGGACGGTAGCGCGAGAGCATATGGATACACAAAAGGCCTAGGAACTAGGCCCCAAAGGGTTAACAGGAATACATATGGATTTATATCTACATATCTATAGTTCACTTATCTGTTACAAGCAAATTTAGGAAATTTGCTTAGTATATCTGGTATCTTATTTTCATTAATAAGATATTTTTGACAGTCACATAGGTTATTATACTGTCTGTCCTTGTATTCCTCAATAAGTGGACAATTAAGCACATAGTGTTCAAGAGAATGACCATATGCCTGATCACATAATTTACATTTAGTTTGATCATCATCTGTGTGTCTCCCAAACTGCCAGAAGTACTTGTAACCAAGCCTAAGCCTGGCCACTACAACACATCTCTGTTCCTTTGAAAGTTCCCCAAAAAACAATTATTACGTTCATGTTATCATAGTGGGTTATAGATCTACCGGGCTTCAAACTGCATTCCTAAACAATCATTTTCATTATTTATTTCTTCCTAAATTTTTTAAAAATGCAGACACAGTTATCCCAAAGTTAATTTTTCTCATTCCCCTTCTCGATACCTTCTTGGCTAACAATCAATTTTTCATAAGGGTAATCCAATGTGTGATGGAATCCATAGAAATTTAATTAATTCCTTTGTCCCTAATTTTTGAGTTCTATACCTGGTTCCCCAAAGGGCATGTTGTTGGAGTCATTATGAGCCAAGAGCCTTCAATATCATAGAATCAGTAATGATATAGAGTAAAAGCTCAGGTTAGGTTGCTTTAGCGCCATTAGGATGAAAACAATTCAGTTGCAGTGTAGCCCCAGTTGTTAATTCTTAGCCTAACTAAACAAATTTTTTATCGTTCTTAACTAGGGAGGGGGCAAAAAGAGCAGATGCCCCTGCCAGAAGACTCCTTTTAGATCCCAGTGTATAAACTTGTGAAAATTTGTTACTACCAGCTAGGGGGAAAAATTTTTTCTTGAGCGTTGCCAAACAAGAGTTTAAGGGGGGTTTACTGAAATGAGCTTCTTGGGAGAATTTGTAGGTAGGGGGAGGATGTGGGTATGAGGGGGGAGTAAATAAAAGGTAAGGTTTTTCACCCAAGGAAGGGGGGACATCAAAAATCCTCTGATGGGAACCCTCACATAAGATAAAAATTATTATTTTTTATAAAAATAATTATTATTTTTATATTTTTATTTATTATTATTATTTTTATTATTACTACTATTACACTATTACTTACTAAAAGTATAGTAGAGGGGTAGTTAGTAGTATAATATATATTTATTATTATTATTTTATTGTATAGAAATGTATATAGTACACATATATAATAGTATTTATTTTTTTTTAGTAGTAGTGAAAAATGTAGTGTAGTGCAGCAGAAATTTTTCAAAAAATTAATTAATACCCGCATTCTTAAATACAAGGGCACCAGTGCGTCATCATTTGGCACTGTGCTGCTTCGTGAGGTCAATTTTGCCTAAGGCACTGCCAACCCGCGGGTCAAGGGAGCCAGCTGGTACTGCCACAGCGGGGCAACGGACCAGCTGGCATGCCACCGGGAAAGGGTCAAGGGAGCCAGCTGGCACTGTCCAGCTGGGGGACCAAAGTTGTCCCTATATTTAAAACGTGAGATTTTGTGGATGAAGTGATGTTGTAGTAGTGGTATTGTAGGGGGTGTTGTAGGGTGGTAGTTGTAGTGGTGGGTGTTGCAGTGGGGGTGGGGGTGTTGTTGTTGATGGGGTTTTTTTGCAGTCCGTATGGGGGGTTGAAAGGGGCTTTTGTTGTAGTATTTTTTGTAGGGGTTTGGTTGGAGTTGGTTTTGTTGTTGTGGTTGGGGGTTTTGGGAGTAGCGGGGGTTTTAGCGGGTTTTTTTGGCGTTTTTGGGTATTGTAAGGTTTGGGGTTGTGTGTAATTTCACCCTTTGATTTTTCGACGTTGCAGTTGGTGTTGATTTGGGGTTTGGGGGTTTTGTGTCGTAGGGGGTGGTTGTGGGTTTTGGTCGATGGTGGCTGTGGTTTTTGTGTTATGGTGGTTGTGGTTTTTGTGTCGAGGGTGGTTGTGGTTTGTGTCGTAGGGGGGGTTGGGGGTTTTTTGTTCGTAGTGGGGGTTGCCGACGTTTTGTAGTGGAGTTGTAGGGGGTTTTTGGCTTGTAGCACTGCGTGGGTGGTTTGTGGTGGTATTGTTGTTAGGTGTTGTAGTGGTTGCAGGGGCCCACTGTTCTCCCCCTGCCCCCTCGTAGAACCGGTTCTTCCTCCCCTTCTTTCCTCCTCCTCCATTTCGAGCTGTCGCTCGCCTGGCCCCCACCTGGGAGAGGATTTCCCCTCAGTTTCCTCCGGGCATTTTGCTTGTGCTTTCCTTTTTCTCGGGGCTTCACTGGGGTTTTCCTTGTTTTTTGAGGCCTCACTTGTGTTTTCCTGTTTCCCGATTATTAGGGCGTTTTCCGGGGGTTCCCCACTGGTGTTCCCTGGATTTAGGGGTTTTTTCCCGGGGGGTTCAGTGGTTTTTTTCGGGTTCCACTGGTTTTTCCCTGGGTTCCCACTAGTTTTCCCGGGGGTTCCGCTGGTGTTTCCGGGAGTTACACTGCTTTCCCGGGTTTTCCATTTGTGTTTAAGGGAGTTCCACCGGTTTTCCGGGGGGTTTTCATTGGTTTTCCCGGGGGTTTCCACTGGGTTCCCGGGAGCCCCCATTTGTGCTTCTCGGGGCTCCACTTGTTTTTTTTTTTGTCCCCCACTGGGTCTCGGGGGTTTACCCGGACTTCCTCTGGTTTTCCCTAGGGGTTTCCGGGGGTTCCACTAGTATTTCCAGGGTCCACTGGTTTTTCCAAAGATTCCACTGGATTCCCGGGGGTTCCACCGGGGTTCCTGTTTTTTCCCCTGATTTTTCCCGGGGGTCCACTGGTTTTCCCCTTTGGGTTTCATTTATGATTCCGGGGGGTTCCACGCTGTTCCCGGGGTTCCCCTTATGTTCCCCGGGCCCACTGGTGTTTTCGGGGAAACTCCACTTGGTTTTTACCGGGGTTACACGGGTTTCCTGGGGTTCCATTGATTTTCCCTGGGGTTCTACTGGTTTCCCGGGGGTTTCCCACTGGGTTCCCCGGGGTTCCAGTGGTGTTCCGGGGGTCCCACTGCTTTTCCCACGGGGTTCTACTGCTTTTTCCCGGGGGTTCCACTACTGTTCCCTGGTGTTCCCACACTTTTCCTATGGTTGCACTGTTTTCCCTGGGTTCTACTGGTTTTTCCCTTTGGGGGGCCTTTGCGGTTCCCTGGGGTTTGCACTGCTTTTCCCCCGGGGGTTCCACGCGTTCCCTGGGTTCCATGCTTTTCCCGGGGGTTTACTGAGTTTTCCGGGGTTTTTCCCATTGTTTTTTGGGGTTCACTGATTTTTTCTGGTTTTTCCCACTGCGTTCCCGGGGGCCTTTGGGTGTTCAGGGGGACCCCTGGGCCTTCGCTTTTTTTGAACTTTTTTGCCGGGAGTTCTGGAGTTTCTGTGACCTTGGGCTCAGTTTTTTGGCTTAAAGTCTGCTCGAGAAGCCACAAATGTGGCGTCGTGTGCCGAGAACCACAGACTGTGGCGTCTGTACTCCCGATGACCCACAGCCTGGGGCGTCGTCCCCGCTGCCAGACACACACTGAAAAAAAATCCGAAATTATTTTGTGTAGAATTTTTTTTTAATCGGAAAATTTTAAAATATAATTACATTTGCGGTTTTATGTTACGGGTATAGAAAATAAAAAGACTGTATAATGTATTGTAAAACCACACACACACACACACACACCACACCACACACACCCCAACAACACCACACACACACACACACACACACACACACACACACACAACAACACGACGGGATAGATGGGGGGAAATTGAAAACGACATATAAAATCTGAGGGGT